TTTGCATGTGGCTGGATTTGTTGGTTTGGATGAAAGTTTTTGAACTCTCTGACTAGGATTAGGTCGGGCGCAGGTTGAGCGCGTTGGGCGTAGAAGAGCTTAGGGATCTCAGGTTAGATGTTAGGCCGGGCGTGATTTGGCTGCGCCGGACGTGAGTGAGTTTGATGTTTTTGGATTGAAATTGATGCTTATGCATGTTTAAAGTTGAAGTTTTAGATCATATATGTATGATATATGATGTATGGTGAGGTGTGATTCATATGTATGCTTGGTAATGATATATATGAATGTTTAAATATGATATGACATGAGTATATGTTCATATGTGTATAATTGTTGATCATGATGGTGGGTAGACCATGTATGATGTATGATATATTATTGCATGTGATGCCTTATGGCATGTGTATGATTGTTGATCATGATGGTGGGTAGACCATGTATGATGTATGATGCATAATTGCATGTGATGCCTTATGGCATGTGTCTAGCTTAGGACTTGAGGAGAGGGAAATATTTTCAAACTGGAAGAGCTCACATAGAGTCTCTTGAGAGTGGTGCTTGGATATGCGACTAATTATGAGAGTGGTGCTTAGATAGGCCACTGGTTTTGGGTGAGAGTGGTGCTCAAGTAGGCCACTGATTTGGGTGAGTCTCCTCTAAGTCTTAGCTAGTGTTGGAGCGGGGTATGAGGTCGAGGGTTATTCCCTTAACCAAGTACTCGGAAAGGTACGTGGATCCTTGCGGATAGTCGGTGGGCAAACTCTACAATTGACTTGGTAATGCATGCCAAGGTCGTGGTAAGCATGTACCCAGCTGTGCTCTACCTGACGATGGATCCAGACTTCCAATTGTGTGAGTGACATCATCTGAGTAAATCCGAGTGAGGATTATATCCTGTTTAGCTGTGACCGAGCGGGCGCATTGGGTGTGAAAATGGTTGGGGTGGTTTTGGTAGAATGGGATGTCACTTATACTACTCTGTTGTTAGGGAGATCTCCTAGGTGTATGCGTGACGACACATTGGATGATCGATATGCATTGATATCTGTTATGAGTTGCATGTATTGCATTATTGTTATGATGATGAAGTGTATGGTGTTTGACTTCATGTTTGATGAATGAATGATTGTTGGAGATGGAAGTTCCTTTGGGACTTGATTTGGATGCATGTGTAGTATAGATTTTATTCTGTACTTGTATGATTGATTTTTGAACTCTAGCTTACCCTTCTGTTTCCATGTGGTAGGACTGCGATGATCATACTCGGTATGGGAGTAAGTTAGGACTAGCTTGAAGTTGAGGTGACTGCTGCGTGTTGAGGAGTTTTGTCCCAGTGTCAGAGCTACCTTCTTAGGTAGTTGTTGGTTGTGCTTGACCGACACTAGGGTGATGTTATTTTGGATGACTGTATATATATGATGTTATATTTTTGGTACATAGAACTTACTTATTTTATTCTTATATATATATGTCTGTATGTATGAGTTGTCCAATATTAATATTTTTCTTAGTTCACTAGTAGTAGTACGATTCTATTAAATGTAGAGACCATAATGGGTCATTACATTAAAAGTCAAGTAAATTTTTCCACATTAATTCTTATCATTTTCTTTTATTAAATTATAATGAAGATCAACAAATATATCCTTCTTTGATATTTTTTTATTATAAGAATTACAATGACAGTATTAGAAATTTCGAACCTAATAAAATTCTAGATATATCATATCTTAACTTCTACCACTAAACTTATCTTAATAATTTATATCTTTCTTCAACATCTTATATTTATTTTTATTATATTTTTCTTATTATCGAAATAAATTTTTTATATTAATAGAAATTACAATTATCACATCAAGAGTTAAACTTTAAACATTATGTATATTAGTCTAACTTTTTACCAATTTAATCGATGAGTTTAACACGAGTTCCCCTGTAACGTTAAATCAATAATAATTGTTGAACTTAAAACTGTGTATATCTCGGTAACTTACCAGTATTTCAACTGAGTTTGTAGTCATAGTAATTTCTATCAATGAAAATAAAATAAAATAAAAACTTCCAGTAGAATTATCTTGATTTGGACAAACAAAATCCTAAAGTACTCAATCTCAAGTGCTGAACTCAATTTTCTTAACCAGTGTCTAATTTAAATTTGTTAAATTACATTTTTAATTATTTTATTCTTCTTAATTTATAATTTTATTTTTTCTATTTCAAAATAAAATATTTAATTTTTAAAAATTTTAAAATATAAAATTTTAGTCTCCATTAAATTGATATTTACTAATTTTTAGATTTTAATAAATGATGTAATATTTAATAACATGAAATTTAGAAATAAAAATTAAAAAATATATAAATCAGATTTTTATTAATAAAATAAATATCAATTACTTAAAAATATATGCAAATGAGAATTTTTTATATATTATTTTTTAATTTTTATTATATAAATCATGTTACTAAATATACTTAAATAGTGACAAATCATTAAATAATATCAAAATTTAATAATTAATAAACATTAAATTGACGATAAAATTAAAATTTTATATTTTTAAAAATAGGAAACTGAATATCTCTCCTTTAAAATAGAAGAATAAAAAAATTAGAGATACAAGACTGCAATTTAGCCTTTAAACTTTAAAGCAATTCAACGAACATTCCATATAAAACTGACAGCTACCGGACGAACCACGCAGGTTGACTAGTTGAGAAGACTTGCGGTTTATCAATAAATATTTCTGAGAATAAAAAATGAAATACTTTTTAAAATTAAGTTAAAAAATAATTTTATATTATATATGTTGGAGATAAACTTCTTTAGCCAAATAAACTTTTTTTCATTAATCAATATTAAGGACTATTGTGTCAGATTATAGAATTAATGTTAATAACATATACTTATATCTATTGAGGTTAATCGAATGTTGTAATGGAATAGTCTTTTGATGTAATGATCTTCTTCAGCCAAATTACCAGATTCCTTTTATGGGACTTGACATAGAAGAAAGAAACGTGTTTTTTTATTTGGCAACCATGATCATCTTTTTAATTTTAAACCTATTAAGGTTTTCATTAATCTTTAAAGGGCCAAATCTAGTTTTCACTTATTTATGTTCATATTAATTTTTCTCATTGACAACTCACTAGAATTAGATCACTTTTATTGAGGTTAATTAAATATAAATAACTAATATAAATGCTACAAATAATATATATAGCCCATATTAATTATTAAAAATAAATTTTAATATATATATATATATATTAAAAAACATATTTTGGAGAAATTAATAATATGAGAAAACTTAATTTATAACTTAATTTTAGTTTTTTAAAGAAATTTATTATATTTCCTTTTTATTTTCTAGAAATGATTTAGGACAAATTTATCCAAAACGTTTTTCTTTTGTCTCTTTCATATATATCTTGTATTTTGGTGATGTAAAATTCGATCTTTGCCATCTAACAATTATGCTGAAGATAAATAAAGGAATATATCAAATTATGAATCTCTTTTCAAATAATCTCATAATTTTAACTATTAATTTATATATTTTGTACGTCAAAAAAGTTATTATTTTATTTTCTTTTTCTCACATAGAAATATACATGTGGAAAACTTCGAAAAATAATCTCAAAAAACTTATTATTTTATCTAAATTTAAATATACATATAGAATGCTTGAAAATCTAGTTTGCTAATGCACGTATCGAAATTTTTATTAACTTTTGGCGACTCCCTTTACGTATTAGAGTCATTCATTTTGACTCAAAAAATGGTTTGTATGAAGAGGGAATTGGACTTAATAATTAGATATAATAGTCCGTCTTTGTTGTCAGTTAAAGCAGGTATAAGTTGAAAGAGAAAATTAGAGGCAAGTCATAGTTGAAGTCATAGATCAATAGGAAATTTAAGCAGAAATATGGATGCATTTAATCAAAGAACTTGATAGTGGTAGTGGTAGCCATGCACTTAGATAGTTGAAGTTGAAGGGGAGTACTTGTGATGTAAAATGATAGTTTTAACTTAGGTAATAACTGTTTGTATTTAAAATGACTCAACAATTAACTCAATGGATTATGTAGAGATTAGGCACCATATAAACCTATATATATTGTAGAGACAATTTACTTAATGAAAAATTTAATTTGTATTCGATATTTATAAAAAAGTAACAAAACCTTTTAAATCAGGCGAAATTAGTTTCTAATCAAGTAGAGCATTGTTACTTGTTTCATGGCAAGAGACTCAAGTACTCAACAATTGAAAAAAGAGAGGTCTTTGACTAAGAAAACAGAAGGAACTATTACATAATTGGCCCTTACGTTTCGGGAATAAGGATAAGAGTTGAAATTAATAAACATTTTTCTTATCTAATTAATCGTCAATTAGATTTGGAATCACAAATTAACTGACATGACAATTATTTCAAGCCTCTATATGACTATATGGTGGATAAATTTAGTGGGGAAATTACGTATATATAGACACATAAATATCAATTACACTACAAATCGTAGAAAGACAGATACCCAAAACAAATCCTGTTCTCAATATTCATTATTCTTGTTTACTGTCTTTCAAATATATATACGTAAACATATGCTTTACATGTATTTTATTCCTTAGTCCAACTTCTCTTCAAGTTTAGTTGAATTGTAATTTGTAAGTCTAAATGATCGATTTCTTTAACAGCATAGGAACCCATAGTAAGATAACATTGTCCCTTTATTTCTTTAATAATCATTTGATTTAGGAGATCATTTTATTTGTGATCAACTAATTAATTTTCAAGCTAAATTAGCGGAATTTTATTCATCTCACATTAGATTGACACAATTACCTTAATTTGTGGTATGTTTAAAAAAGATCGCAACATGACACGGATTTTAATTTCAATCAAGTCCCTTACTCCATTATTTAAATGGTACGAATTTTATCATTTTGATGAAAGACAAAACTTAATTGACCGTGAGTCCATGCCTTGCATAAAATGATCAAAATAAAATTATCTCAAATCACTTTACAATATTATTATTAATATAACATAACACACATTATATAGAGTACACCAATACTATTCAAGCTCGATCAATTTTATTTTGTAACACGCTGGAAAAGGAAGATATAAAGATAGACACGCATCATGGTGATACTTCTGAGCTTGAATATTGTTATATTTATGATGTTGGATCAATAGAGATGGTGGTGGTGCTTCTTTCCATGAGCTTCTTCATCTTCCTTCTTAGCTTCTTTTTTCTCATGGTGTTCATGGAACACAAAACCACCAGCACCAACTGCAGCTGCTGCAGCAATTTCCTCTTCTACCTTGTGCTTGTGAGCATGTTCTGGATCTTTCTTTGCCTCGTGCTTCTCATGCTATCACCAAATTAACAATTAATTTCAGCAAAAGGAAATCAATTTTACTTTTCTTTGTCATAAAATATATCTTTATGCCCCATCAGTTTTCATTCAAGAAAGATACACAAATTAATCACAACACGTATAGTTATGGTAAGTAGGTAGTAGAGTGAACTAATTAATACTGTGTAGCTATACGATTTTTAGATCTGTTAATCACAATTATTCAAGCACCACAACTACCAAAGTGACGTCTTAAAAAGAAAGAGACAAATTGAAATTATTGGTGGACGTAAACAGGTTTAAGTGTTAGATGTCCAAGATAAAAATTAATGATAAAAATTACAAAAATAAAAAAAAATCAAAACTAAACTTCACTGAAGGAAAAAAAAAAAAAAAAACTGTATTTGATCCTTAAAATTGAGCGATTTACAGTTGTTCAGTCTCATCACTTATGTGGGAGGTATATTTTCCTTGGTCAATGAAGTGTTTGCACATCATTTATTTATTTTGGTGAACCTTAATTTTAAAGATAAAGTATGTAAAAGGAGGGAATCATCTCACAAAAATAAGATATAAATCTATTTTCAATTAGGATAAACGATGGATGATGAGGAAAATAGTATATTGAAGATGATATATAATTACCAAGGCATAAGCACCAGCAGCAGCAGCACCAAGCTCACCAAGGTGCTCAAGATGCTTGTGATGTTTCTCCTCCTTCTTATAGTCAACTTCACCAGGTATACCCTCTTCCTTGTGGTGGTGGAAGTGGTGGTGGTGGTGCTTCTCCTCAGCCATGATCGATCAATTCAGGTAAAAGGAATTAGATTTTTAAGGTGTGATGGGAGAGTTGTGAAGCTTAGGTGATCTATTTATAAATTGATATGATCATCATCATGTTAACCATAATGTGTGACTGGTTGGTTGGGTTCACCTTTCTTGGTAGGCCATAATAAATGATTTTATTGAAGATTTCAAAATATGGATCCCTAAGTAAGTATCCACTAATCTTTTGACTTTGGAGTATATGCTTGGAATAAAAATTAAAAAAAAAATTATTAATAGATTATTTAATTTACTTTCCCTTATAACACAAGGATATGGCGACATGAAAAAGAATATCTTCCGCGATGGGGCCTGGCTGGAGTACTATGTATGGGAAACTTTTGACTGTGTTTAACAAGTGGCTATAATAGTCGCACTCGTTTTAATTGAATGTGAAGAATAATTAACTAAAACAAATATGGGAAGTGTTGAAATAAAATTGTGCCGTGTGATTTGCTGTCAACAAGAAGTGATTTGCTGTAATTAAGGGTGATTTTCGTGTGAGGATCCTCTCCGGTTTTTCTATATAAGACTTTATCTTTATCAAAAATCATAATCATTCATTACATTCTTTTGTTAAAACCAAAAAAATAATAATTAATTATTTATGAACCTATCATATTAATCGTTAAAAAATATAAACGAAAGTGTATATAAATTTATGATGATAAGTAAATAGTACAATTTGACATTTTAAATCAGCACATACTCTCTATCTCTTTGTCTTCTTTTGATAATAGAATGTCAGAAAAGAAAAGAAAAATGTATTGTGATATGTGAACCTAATTTATTTATAGATAACATAGGGTTTTCTTTTGGTATTTTTATTTCAACTCACCACAAAATTGAATTACTCTTTAGTTACTACATATTAAAGACCTCATACCCTATTAGATACATAACTAGCCAAAATGTTTATACATTATATTACTTTAATTTGACATAACGTTTAAGTGATAATCCTTAATATATAATATTATTCACATATAAGGTCAATGTTGAATTAAGGATCCAACAACCTCCCACTTAGACTATATGTGTAACATAATAATTATATAATTACCAAATGTATCTATTAATTCAATCCATCAAATCATACCAACGTAGGATCAAAACAGTCTTCTTACACTTATCATAACCAAACCCATCAATGGTCACATATGCCAATACAAATGAAAACATGAATTATGATATGGTTATGTAGTATGAAATTTTCGTGTAATGTGACCTTAACATGCTTATGGAGGAAAGATAGACACTAGAAGGAGGATTGAATATTTTATCTTTGAATTCTTCTATATTTATACTTGTATTCTTTATTTTGTTTGTTATCTTCTCTTGAGTTATAGAGCTTCTTATATAGTAGTTTTGAAAGAGATGGTCGCTGCAATTTCTTGAGTTTGATTCATAAAACTACTTTGCTTTACTCCTTCGTCTGATCTAGAGAAATGAAGTATTCATTGGTGCATTAAATGCTTAAATTAATGCCTTTCACCTAAACATACTATTTGTCTTTGATAAGCTACTTATTAGAATATAGTAGCAAAACGGGAACAACAGGAAGCAAAGTCAGCATGCAGGTGAGGATGTAACCCTTTTTTAGCACCTTTTTTGTGAAATATGGGATCTTTATCCTTTCTTTTTATACTCTTCATGTTTTTATACACTTTTAATATAATGTGAGTTTCAAGACAACTGATTTCAATTTGTTAAGGTACAGAGCATTCATTTGAAAATTTGAAAGCATCAGTCATAATAAATAGTGATCACTAAGAAAAGTTTTGTGTTTTATCTAATTTACTTCGTCTTACAAACGTTACTTCATCTTACAAAGTCTGAAACAACAACTTATTATCATTAAAACTTATAAAACATGAGAGATCTAAGATTATCTTTTGACTTAACAATCACCCCTTTTTAGATGGTGACAAACACATTTTTTGAATAAAACTTATTTTACTATCTTGTAAGAACCTTTTGGTATCGGTTAGATGAAGACAATTTTTCGCATGTTTTTTTAAGGAAAAAAATATTTTCTTTAACTTATAAATATTCTATGTTAAGTACAAGTTGTTTGCTTTTTCAAACGTAGTAAGCCTTAGTACCTAAGGCGTAGCTTTTTAAACATAAGCAGTTTGTTGTAAGGAGTAAGTATTTGAAATTTATAACTAGATGAACTTAGCATGATATATAGACTTAAGAGACTACGTATAGTTATTCGCATACAAACATAAATAGACTTAAGCAATTTGTTGTAGGGACTAAGTATTTGAAATTTATAACTAAATGAACTTAGCATGATATATAGACTTAAGAGATTACGTATAGTTATTTGCATACAGACATACATACTTGCATTTATAGATATATTCCTAAATCTTGCATTCAATATAGATAAGTCATGTAGGGAAACACCCCCTAAAAACATGCATATTGATATGAGATTTTGTCACATGTCCAGGTGTATATTCAAGAAGTTGTGAAAGTATGTTATTGTGTCAATTATATGTAAAACATGTATAGTTTTAGACGTACATATAGATTGTTCAAAACTACCAATATAGATGTATAACAATGCAAAGCATAATAGTGTAAATTGCGTATAGAATATTTAAAATGTATTGAAAAATATTCTAAGAGAGATTTAGAGTATGCAAAAATAAGTCAAAATAATCCAAAATTTTAAAAATATACTAAATTAAAAAATATACTAAAATCCTCTTAGTTGATTTTGTTCTCTTAAGAAGTAGGGGAAGCTTGTGTCGATTCTTTGTAGTATGCATATTGATGGTTGCATTTTGAAATTCTCTAGCTTTCAAGTTGAGTTGTTGGATTCATGGGTTGCTAAGTTGTGTGTTTGAGGTCTTTGAAAATGGTGGCATTTTAAATGTGGTCAATCCTTGATCCCTTGTTGCATGTTGATTTTGATGATGGAAATGTGATGTATAGGTTTTATAAATGTTGTGTATTGCAATGCTTGTTGGTGGATTGTCTATTCTTTAAAGACTTTGGAAGGAAAACAACTCTACATAAGTGTAGAACTAATGTCGCGTTGGGCGTGCCTTCACTACGTTGGACACAGCTCAATTAGATGGTCCTCTTTTTCCCCTATGTCGGGTGCATGATTGGCAGCACCAATCTTGAGAAGATGGAGTAGCCTTGGGTTGGACTAACATCGAGTTTGATTTGAAAGGTACCATACGTGAGGAGAGAGACTCGTCTCTACCTAGGTTCTCATTGAACATTGAAGGTGTGGTGTTAGGTGAGAGTTAGGTAGAGGCCCTTTGCCTAATTAAGGTCGGGCGTGGGTTTTACCACGTTAGGTGCAAAAGAGTGGAGAACTCTTTGCCTTAATCACATTGGGCACGAGTGGTACGACGTCGGGCACGAGTGATGGAGGAGCATGGATCAAGGGTCCAACCACTAGAGTCATGGCTGTTGAGATTCATAGAGTGGTGAATCAACTCAAACTTGGAGAATGAAAGTTTTGATGATAACAAAATGTGGATTCTAAGAAACAAAGCTGACCAAGGACATCAACAAGTCAAAAACAAAGTCAAGAAGAAAAGGTGACTATTATTATGTGTAATAGGGATAGCTCATAAGTTGTATTGTTTTGTTTAGCTTATTTTTCATGTGTGTGCGTTATGCATGAGTCAATCTTAATCTAATTTGACTAAAGAGTGAGTATGATGATGAGTTAGATACTTGAAAAGTTATTTTGAGATATAAAACAGAGTTTTTGAAAATTGACTCTGATGGAACTTGTACTATCCGTACTGCGAAGCCGAGCTCCGAGCTCGGTACCACAGCACGAGCTGACCTCGGGCATGCGCTACATGACGTCAGCTCGTTACTTAAAATAGATCATAACCGATCTCAGGAAATCTCGGTTCAGACGAGATCCCCTACCTAATCAAATCACAGCTAATCTCGGGCCCAAGGCCCAACGCAACCCTAATTTACACTAAGGTACGTGCATTACTTATACGAGATTCATACTCATACAAACCCTAACTTTAGCATCGGAGTCTCTTTGGGAGGTACCACCCCCATCTTGGAGCATCAAGCGTACCAGTGAAGGAGGCTCACCGATCGTAGCCAGCAGATCGTACCTACCACCGATCTCCGGTAAGAACATTTGGCGCCCACCGTGTGGCTGATCAAGACAGCTCTCATCGGCCACGCTTATGGTTTGCACCAGAAACCATAGTAGACGCGTAATAGATGACGCAGATAATCCATCTACCATGGATAACGAAGCAGCATTGAGGAGACTGATCGACCAGGTTGAACAAATGCGACAACAACACGCCGCCGATCTACAAAGCATGCGTGCCAAGCATGACACTAACCTAGCAGCAATGCGTACCGCTAATGAAGCCGACCTGGCGGCGCTACGCGCCGAGAATGAGCGTATTCGCGCTCAACTCCCTCGGCGTCACTCCGATCATCCTCCTTATACCAGCAACCACCATGAGGAAGAGGAGCATTCAGTCTCTCAACCCTGGACTGCGACTAGGGCACCGACTCAACGACTTGCCACGCATCAGTCTCATGCACCGACGCACAAGCCGGCCCATGAAGTCAACAAGGCCCCTACTCATGACGCAGGGGATCAGGCAACCTTCCGCCACCACCCTTTTGTGGATGGCATCATGGAGACACCACTCCCTCACGGGTGGAAACCTCTCCACCTCGACCGCTATGATGGCACAACAGACCCAGATGAGCATATCGACTTGTATACGACACAAGTAAACCTCTACACTAACAATGACGCTATTTTGTGTAGGGTCTTTCCTTCCTCACTCAAGGGGGCCGCGCTCAACTGTTACCCCCAACTGCCTGCCGAGTCCATTGACAGCTTTGGCCCCCTAGGCAGAAGGTTCACAGCACAGTATGCGACGAGCCGACCTCACCATATCACTTCTGCCGCCCTGGCCAATCTCAGACAGAACGACAACGAGCCACTCCCGGCGTTCATGGAGCGATTTGCCGCTACCTCGATTAAGATCAGAAATCTGAACCCTGAGGTCGCCGTGCATGCCATGCTCATG